TCATTCGGATAAGAAATGCAATGCATGTTTACGCGTAGCTGTCCTTGATCGTCGTCTCTCTGTTGAACCACTTTCTCAAAAAGGGTTTGAGTGTCCTATCCCACTTCGGTGAGACTCGGCTTGTCTTCGAATGGAGTGTTCGTTAGAATAGATACTTCAGATGTACCAACGGTTGTCTGAGATGTGATTGTCCTTCCCAACTGGTGTCTTTATTGAAAGTTCTAGACTACTTTACATGCCAGCTGCAGACTGGTAATGCTACGGTCTAGTGAGTTTCTTCTTCTTGTGTAGAGATTGAGAGTTTCAGAGTTTCCCACCATTTCAAATGTGTGGACTAACGTCTCACGTTTCCTGGTCTTAGAGTGTCAACCATTTGTAACGTTCAGCTCCTGCTGCACGTCCACTGGTCTGTAGAGGTTCAACCATTTGTAACGTTCAGCTCACGCTTCACGTCGGCTGGTCTTTCTGGTCTAACCATTTTAAGCCATGTAGCCACAGCTCCAAGCTTCCTGGTCTTTCTGGTCTCTGATTCAAAGTTCTAACCATTCTAAATGTGCAGTCGCCACTGTCACGTTTTCTGGTCTAAAGGAAAATGTTGTTACTAAGGAACAAAAAAAGGGGGCGTTCCATCACGCCGACCCAACGTCTGTGCTCACTTGGGCGTGGTTACTGACTGGGCAAAAGTTTATATAGAACAATTATCTCATTAGAAGAATAAAATCACATTGCTATCTTCACAAAAGTACTCTCATTCTTAATCATATATTTTATACAACATTTAGATGTAAGCTTGATAAATAGAATGAGTATGCGGGCTCCCGAGTGGCGCGGTGGTCTAAGGCACTGCATCTCAGTGCTAGAGGCGTCACTACAGACCCTGGTTCGATTCCAGGCTGTATCACAACCGGCCGTGATTGGGAGTCCCATAGGGTGGCGCACAATTGGCCCAGCGTCGCCCGGGTTTGGCCGATGTAGGCCGTCATTGAAAATAAGAATTTGTTCTTAACTGACTTGCCTAGTTAAATAAAGGTAAAATTAAAAAAAGTGTACACTTTCAGAGTTACAGTTTTTACATTTTAGCAGACGCTCTTATCCAGAGCGACTTACAGTTAGTGAGTGCATACATTTTCATACTGGCCCCCCGTGGGAAATGAACCCACAACCCTGGCGTTGCAAGCGCCATGCTCTACCAACTGAGCTACAGGGGACTATAGCTATATACCATCTTTAATGACATCACAAACTAATAAAAGATATGACATGATTATTCTTTAGGTCCCACTGACCATTCCAAACATTTGGAGGTCAGGAATAATGTTCCAATGTCCACTTTTATTGACGTATGAGTTTTTAGGCGGCTAAGAGTCTCTGGAACAAATAAAAGAGACCAAAAGGAGTCATTTTTTGCAAACTATTTATGACCGGCTGTTAAGTCATAAAACCGGCCCAACTCCCCCTTCTCCTCTCCTGTTGGAGAGAGGGAGGTTCTGGCTATCTGTCAGCCATTTACCTTTTCTTGTAGTGGCTGCAGCTCTTTACGCCGATATACAGTTTGCGCCTATTCCATAACAGGAGGCTTGTGAAAGTTGTATTTTTCCACACATGAGAGGATCCGGACAAAAAATAAAGATTAGACTCTCACGAACACAACAGTGTCGGTTTGGCTCTATGACATCCAGAAGCTTTACCGCCGTCGTCAGAAACCTGTCACAGACATCCTCATTTCGAGGGGGTCTTCTCAAAAAACCGACTGTTCAGACCGAACTGTTGGAGCTACAAAGTAATATGTCACCAATATCGAAAGAGGAGACTCTCACGAACATGAAGATGTCGGTGGTTCTGCTCTGCTCTACACACAAGCTGCAGAGGAGTCATCTGAAGATAACCCAGTACCGGGCTGTAAAAATGGCAAAAAGTGCATAGGGGGTCAAATGTGCCACAAATAACGTGACCAAACAATGGTCTAAAAAAAAGTTTTCTTATAGCTCTCAGATATACAGTGCATTTGGAAAGTATTCAGACCCCTTGACTTTTTTCACATTTTGTTATGTTACAGCCTTACTCTAAAATGGATTAAATAGTTTTTTTCCCTCATCAATCTACACAAAATACCCCATAATGACAAAGCAAAAACAATTTTTTTTATAAATTTCTGCAAATTTATTAAAATAAAACCAGGAAAAATCGAATTTACATAAGTATTCAGACCCTTTTCTCAGTACTTTGTTGAAGCACCTTTGGCAGCGATTACAACCTTGAGTCTTTTTGGATTTGACGCTACAAGCTTGGCACACCTGTATTTGATGAGTTTCTCACATTCTTCTCTGCAGGACCTCTCAAGCTCTGTCAGGTTGGATGGGGAGTGTCGCTGCACAGCTATATTCAGGTCTCTCCAGAGATGTTCGATCGGGTTCAAGTCCGAGGTCTGTCTGGGCCACTCAAGGACATTCAGAGACTTGTCCCGAAGCCACTCCTGCGTTGCTTGCCTGTGTGCTTATGGTCATTGTCCTGTTGGAAGGTGAACCTTTGCCCCAGTCTGAGGTCCTGAGTGCTCTGGAACAGGTTTTCATCAAGGATCTCTCTGTACTTTGCTCCGTTCATCTTTCCTTCGATCCTGACTAGTCTCCCAGTCCCTGCTGCTGAAAAACATCCCGACAGCATGATACTGCCACCACCATGCTTCACCGTAGGGATGGTGCCAGGCCTCCTCCAGACGTGACACTTGGCATTCAGGTCAAAGAGTTCAATCTTGGTTTCATCACACCAGAGAATCTTGTTTCTCATGGTCTGAGAGTCCTTTAGGTGCCTTTTGGTAAACTCCAAGCGGGCTGGCATGTGCCTTTTACTGAGGAGTGGCTTCCGTCTGGCCACTCTACCATAAAGGCCTGATTGGTGGAGTGCTGCAGCGATGGTTGTTATTGGTCACCTCCCTGACCAAGGCCCTTCTCCCCCGATTGTTCAGTTTGGCTGGGTGGCCAGCTCTAGGAAGAGTCTTGGTGGTTCCAAACTTCTTCCATTTAAGATTGATGGAGGCCACTGTGTTCATGGTGACTTTTAATGCTGCAGAAATGTTTTGGTACCCTTCCCCAGATCTGTGCCTCGACACAATCCTGTCTCTGAGCTCTACGGACAATTATTTCGACCTCATGGCTTGGTTTTTGCTCTGACATGCACTGTCAACTGTGGGACATTATATAAACAGGTGTGTGCCTTCCAGATCATGTAACGTAACAAAATGTGGAAAAAGTCAAAGGGTCTGAATACTTTCCGAAGGCACTGTAGGACAGACACTTCAAAACGTTATTCCTTATCCTTTGTACTGTCTGTTTTGCCATGTAGAAATGTGTTATTCAATGTGTTTCTATGGGCTACAACAGTAAAGACAAAATTCAATCTTTCAGCAAATACTTTATTGATAGATATTTTTTTTTTATACCTACTGGGGTCCTAAAATTCTAAATCAAATGGCTAAATGATCCATTTTATGACCATCTTAAAACAATTCTATATGTTAGCTTTGGAAATACTGAGATCTAAGGGCTTAGACCTACAGGGGTTTTAAAACTGGCAGCAATGATGTTCAAAGTAGTCCAACAGAATAAACCAACAGACCACTTTTTTATTTTCTTGCTATGACTGTGATATGTCGTTGTTTATCTACCTTTGTTGAATGCACTGACTGTCAGTCGCTCTGAATAAGAGTGTCTGCTGAATGACCAATATGTAAAAGTGAAAAAACACCACTTGCAAAGCATGCTAGGTAATATTCTAATGAGCTCCGCCCCAAAATAAGTACGAATTTGGTTGGTGCGGAACTGATCCAAATCTGAACGAATCACAGACGTCTAGGCTGTTTCACAAGTCTGAACATCACATTTCAGTACGGCAGTTTAATACATGAAAAAATACATTTAAAAGACGTTGTCGTCGGTAAATGCTTAGTGGGAAGTGTAGGCCTACACTCGTTCACTACAGTACTTCCCACAAATCTAAAAGCAGGATAAGTGGAATTCTGGGCTAGTAGAAGGAGATTCCACCATATTGCTTAGGTTACCAGTCATGATGTTTAACGGTCATGGCTGCCATCCCATTTCTGACACCAATGTAGCGAACAACAAACCCGGGTCGTGGCGTGAAAGGGAAAAACCCTACTGGACTAATCATAGACATCTATATTTGGGCCAAATAAAGGCCAGTCCGGATCAGACCTAATCTGAACCAATCTTAGACGCCTTTTTTGGGGGGGTCAAATCAAGGCAAGTCCGGACCAAAAAAGTACCTAAAAAAGACGTCCAACAGACGTCGGCTGACGGTAAATGCTTAGTGGGTTTGTTGTAGTTTGAAATTAGTGCTTCTTAGAAATGTTCAATGCAATAATTGATCTACACATGAAGTGGAGGGCGCTCTTTCTCCAAGGTTTTCATTTCCTGTATTCACATTGATTACATGAATCATGTTTCATGAAAACAGCCTACGTAAAAATCGAGCTTGAATTAATGACATGATAGTGTAGGTACCAGTAGTTTTAACATTCCAAAGGCAAATGACACAGAGTACAATGAGTGGAATGACACAGGCTAAGGCTAAGGATATCAGTCTAGTTACTAAGAAAGTTTAAGAAGACAAAAATGTAGCCTTCATGTTTGTGACATCAAAGCAAGATGAAATGGATTAGATATGATTTAATCTATTAGTCCACTTTTGTAGAGATGGTTTGTGTCTCCTTTCCAGTTTTTTTCTTCACTGTTGGAGAGAGAGAGAGAGAGAGAGAGAGAGAGAGAGAGAGAGAGAGAGATGGGGGGCGGGGGACTCTAGAATTCTATATGGTAAGTCGAGGTGCAAAGTTCTGTCACATTTCAGTGGCATCCTCTGAATAAATGTTTTGCACTTTTCAGCAGAGCAAGGGGCACTTATGTGGACGAAATTGCAATGAGACCTTTAAACATCTAAAGGAAAATAATTTATCTGACTCTTCTCCCCAACAGTGTTTTTCTACCAGCATGAGTTCGGAGTGCACAAGCTACTACAGCACAGAGAATGTGTTTACGAATGGCTCCTCGTGTCCTAAAGAAGGGAGCGATCCGAGCGCGGCATTCTGCTGCGGATTTAACGACGTCAAGTATTGCTGTGATGATCCCAACAGCTTCTTTCCTTATGCGTATGGATACATGTGGTGGCTTAGGTAGGTCAGGGATCTTTACTACCCTTTACGATGGTGCGCTTTTTGGACGTGGTTATTGTAGGGTTATAACATGGGTAGACTATGACGTTTTTATTTTAGCTCAAGAAACCACAAGATGAGAGAGGTTGTTGATCATATTTATACAGCAAAGTGCACACGATTAATAAACTAGAATGAAGGATATTTTTTTAGGCTAATGATAACAGATTTTATATGATCTTCACATTTCAATGGGTTTTCACTGGAGTTTATGGCAGTCTTTTTAACTAATAGGCTATTGTATGCCAATCTTATGGAAGGTGATGAATACCTACATTAAAATCAAATGTGATGGGATTTCCTGCCAAAAATGAGCTTTGAGATTTCATCATAATATGAATCATCTAATGAAATAATTAGCATATCAATATCCATTTCTGATTAGCAATCTAAACATTATATTTATTTCATGTAGGTCTGATTCACATTCAACCGCCATAGAAAACAGAAGATATTCAAGTTTCCTCCATTGACACTCTGTGGGCGCTGTTCAAAAGAAGTGCACTGTAAAGGGAATTCACTCTTAAAAATAAAGGTGCAAGTTGGAACTAAATAAGGTTCTTGAGAGTAATGCCATAGGGGAACCATTTTAGAGTCTCTGAAGCAGGGAATAGCAGGAGATTAGCTTTAAAACTGCAAAATGTTCTCTAAGCCTCATGGCAAATTGTGAACAAAAGAATGAGATGAACTATAAAGCAGCAATTCGTTTCCCCGGAAATTAGCTTTAAAACGGCATGACAAAATGTGTAGAATAGTATTATAAAACTGAAAATGTTTCTCTCTGCACCATGGCAAAATGTGTTGAAATGCAGGAAAGCCCCAAATGCGGTAGTCCGGCCTTGCTCTGAAGAACCATAAATGTGATAGTTCTTTGAAGAACCATACAAAAATCAATACCAGAAATGTTTTTGCCCTCCAGGACTGGATTTAAATAGCCCTGCTGTAGGGTTTTAAGCCTTATTTGCATATTTCCCAGGGTGCCTTTCGAGTTACTTTTCGAGTTACCTGTATCACCCATGACTGTGTTTGCTAGTGACAGAGACATGGTTGTTGTATTCATTCATTTTTTCAGTGCTGTGGCCTTCACCAAGTGAGATCCTAAGTGAATATGTTGTCATTAAAATGCTATTATTTAAGACAATACAATACATACAGTGGGGAGAACAAGTATTTGATACACTGCCGATTTTGCAGGTTTTCCTACTTACAAAGCATGTAGTGGTCTGTAATTTTTATCATAGGTACACTTCAACTGTGAGAGACGGAATCTAAAACAAACATCCAAAAAATCACATTGTATGATTTTTAAGTAATTAATTTGCATTGTATTGCATGACATAAGTATTTGATACATCAGAAAAGCAGAACTTAATATTTGGTACAGAAACCTTTGTTTGCAATTACAGAGATCATACGTTTCCTGTAGGTCTTGACCAGGTTTGCACACACTGCAGCAGGGACTTTGGCCCACTCCTCCATACAGACCTTCTCCAGATCCTTCAGGTTTCGGGGCTGTCGCTGGGCAATACGGACTTTCAGCTCCCTCCAAAGATTTTCTATTGGGTTCAGGTCTGGAGACTGGCTAGGCCACTCCAGGACCTTGAGATGCTTCTTACGGAGCCACTCCTTAGTTGCCCTGGCTGTGTGTTTCGGGTCGTTGTCATGCTGGAAAACCCAGCCACGACCCATCTTCAATGCTCTTACTGAGGGAAGGAGGTTGTTGGCCAAGATCTCGCGATACATGGCCCCATCCATCCTCCCCTCAATACAGTGCAGTCGTCCTGTCCCCTTTGCAGAAAAGCATCCCCAAAGAATGATGTTTCCACCTCCATGCGTCACGGTTGGGATGGTGTTCTTGGGGTTGTACTCATCCTTCTTCTTCCTCCAAACACGGCGAGTGGAGTTTAGACCAAAAGGCTCTATTTTTGTCTCATCAGACCACATGACCTTCTCCCATTCCTCCTCTGGATCATCCAGATGGTTATTGGCAAACTTCAGACGGGCCTGGACATGCGCTGGCTTGAGCAGGGGGACTTGCGTGCACTGCAGGATTTTAATCCATGACGGCGTAGTGTGTTACTAATGGTTTTCTTTGAGACTGTGGTCCCAGCTCTCTTCAGGTCATTGACCAGTTCCTGCCGTGTAGTTCTGGGCTGATCCCTCACCTTCCTCATGATTATTGATGCCCCACAAGGTGAGATCTTGCATGGAGCCCCAGACCGAGGGTGATTGACCGTCATCTTGAACTTCTTCCATTTTCTAATAATTGCGCCAACAGTTGTTGCCTTCTCACCAAGCTGCTTGCCTATTGTCCTGTAGCCCATCCCAGCCTTGTGCAGGTCTACAATTTTATCCCTGATGTCCTTATACAGCTCTCTGGTCTTGGCCATTGTGGAGGGGTTGGAGTCTGTTTGATTGAGTGTGTGGACAGGTGTCTTTTATACAGGTAACGAGTTCAAACAGGTGCAGTTAATACAGGTAATGAGTGGAGAACAGGAGAGCTTCTTAAAGAAAAACTAACAGGTCTGTGAGAGCCGGAATTCTTACTGGTTGTTAGGTGATCAAATACTTATGTCATGCAATAAAATGCAAATTAATTACTTACAAATCATACAATGTGATTTTCTGGATTTTTGTTTTAGATTCCGTCTCTCACAGTTGAAGTGTACCTATGATAAAAATTACAGACCTCTACATGCTTTGTAAGTAGGAAAACCTGCAAAATCGGCAGTGTATCAAATACTTGTTCTCCCCACTGTATTTCATAAGGCCTTATTTTGAGGGCCTAGTTTTACCCTAATACAGTGGTCTGAAACTCATAGTTTACTGGCCACATCAGGCCTGCAAGTCACATTATGCTGGCTTGCAAAGTGATGTGCAATTCCTATTGGAATCCAACCAGAGTGGGGATATACAACATTTTAATTTTTATTCACCCTCAACCTGCATTCAGAATGATTGCCGTGTTGGGAAGACTAAGAAATGAGACTAGCTTAAATATCTAAACTGGAACAACATCTTCAGTAACGGGTGCAATAAGTCCAAGTAACAGATTGGAATAGTCTAGAAAAATGTATGTCCTCAAAATGTATGTCAGATGTATGGGGAGAACAAGTATTTGATACACTGCCGATTTTGCAGGTTTTCCTACTTACAAAGCAAGTAGAGGTCTGTAATTTTTATCATAGGTACACTTCAACTGTGAGAGACGGAATCTAAAACAAACATCCAAAAAATCACATTGTATGATTTTTAAGTAATTAATTTGCATAAATAAATAAAAAAGCAGAACTTAATATTTGGTACAGAAACCTTTGTTTGCAATTACAGAGATCATACGTTTCCTGTAGGTCTTGACCAGGTTTGCACACACTGCAGCAGGGATTTTGGCCCACTCCTCCATACAGACCTTCTCCAGATCCTTCAGGTTTCGGGGCTGTCGCTGGGCAATACAGACTTTCAGCTCCCTCCAAAGATTTTCTATTGGGTTCAGGTCTGGAGACTGGCTAGGCCACTCCAGGACCTTGAGATGCTTCTTACGGAGCCACTCCTTAGTTGCCCTGGCTGTGTGTTTTCGGGTCGTTGTCATGCTGGAAGACCCAGCCACGACCCATCTTCAATGCTCTTACTGAGGGAAGGAGGTTGTTGGCTAAGATCTCGCGATACATGGCCCCATCCATCCTCCCCTCAATACGGTGCAGTCGTCCTGTCCCCTTTGCAGAAAAGCATCCCCAAAGAATGATGTTTCCACCTCCATGCTTCAAGGTTGGGATGGTGTTCTTGGGGTTGTACTCATCCTTCTTCTTCCTCCAAACACGGCGAGTGGAGTTTAGACCAAAAAGCTCTATTTTTGTCTCATCAGACCACATGACCTTCTCCCATTCCTCCTCTGGATCATCCAGATGGTCATTGGCAAACTTCAGACGGGCCTGGACATGCGCTGGCTTGAGCAGGGGGACCTTGTGTGCGCTGCAGGATTTTAATCCATGACGGCGTAGTGTGTTACTAATGGTTTTCTTTGAGACCGTGGTCCCAGTTCTCTTCAGGTCATTGACCAGGTCCTGCCATGTAGTTCTGGGCTGATCCCTCACCTTCCTCATGATCATTGATGCCCCACGAGGTGAGATCTTGCATGGAGCCCCAGACTGAGGGTGATTGACCATCATCTTGAACTTCTTCCATTTTCTAATAATTGCGCCAACAGTTGTTGCCTTCTCACCAAGCTGCTTGCCTATTGTCCTGTAGCCCATCCCAGCCTTGTGCAGGTCTACAATTTTATCCCTGATGTCCTTATACAGCTCTCTGGTCTTGGCCATTGTGGAGGGGTTGGAGTCTGTTTGATTGAGTGTGTGGACAGGTGTCTTTTATACAGGTAACGAGTTCAAACAGGTGCAGTTAATACAGGTAATGAGTGGAGAACAGGAGAGCTTCTTAAAGAAAAACTAACAGGTCTGTGAGAGCCGGAATTCTTACTGGTTGGTAGGTGATCAAATACTTATGTTATGCAATAAAATGAAAATGAATTACTTAAAAATCATACAATGTATTTTTCTGGATTTTTTGTTTTAGATTCCGTCTCTCACAGTTGAAGTGTACATGCTTTGTAAGTAGGAAAACCTGCAAAATCAGCAGTGTATCAAATACTTGTTCTCCCCACTGTACATGGTTATTTTACACAACTGAGTGTTAAAGCTTTACAGTGTGAATTTAACTCTTGAATCAACACTAGAAATGTACTTTAAAAATACATAAATACAGCCAGTATGGTGCATTTTGCATCATATGATGCAAAATGCATAATACCGGCTGCATTTCTGTATTTTTAAAGTTATATATCTTGAAAACTTGATTGTTGACATTAAAAAAACTTTGGGAATACAATATATCGACAATGGGCTAATGAAACAAATACCAACAGATCGTTTTTGGGTGGGATTTTCCTTTAACGCTGGCAAAATTTGCTGTGTGCTATGAAAGGGACACATCTGTAGGCTTCCATGCATTTCAAGAACCTTTTAGAATTCTGAAGAACCGTAGATATCACGTGAAGAACCCCACACTTAACTTAAAGGTTCTTCATCGGGCAAGAGTTCTCCAAGGAGCTGAGGAAGAACCATTTAAGAACCTTAATTTTTTTCAGTGTAGGGCTCCATTTGGGGCACAACCTGTGTTGGTGTGATAATGGGATAGCTTCTTATAATGGGATAGCTTCTTATAATGGGACAGCTTCTTATAATGGGACAGCTTCTTATAATGGGACAGCCAGGTCCTTACAGGAAGGCTGCTGCTCACATATGAATAAGTCCCATTCCTTATGGGTTGTAAGGTGCCATTGTAAGGTGGGTGGCAAGTATCTATCTCAGTCTCAGAGAATTCCAACCGTTTCTTCGTCAGATAGATAGAATGTGATTTTTTCTCTCTCTTTCACTCTCTTTTGATGTGTTCTCTTCTCTCCCTGTTTTTTCTCCCTTCTCTCTCCCCTCATCTCTCTCTCCCCCCTCTCTCTTCCCTCCCCCCTCCCTCCCCAACCTCCGTCCCCCCCTCCATACCCTCCCTTCCTTCCTCCCTCCCCAGCTTTGGGGCTCTGATAGGTCTGTCCATAGCAGCGGTGGTCCTCCTGGCCTTCCTCATCACAGTCTGTGTCCTCTGCTACCTCTTCATCGCCACTAAGCCCAGTCGCCTTGACAATGGCCTGCCGCTACGAGCACCAGGTAACACAAGTGACCAGAGGTGGCGACATACCATAATGATGGGCCAGCTAGCGACATACCATAATGATGGGCCAGCTAGTGGCATACCATAATGATGGGCAAGCTAGCGACATACCATAATGATGGGCCAGCTAGCGACATACCATAATGATGGGCCAGCTAGCGACATACCATAATGATGGGCCAGCTAGTTACATACCATAATGATGGGCCAGCTAGCCACATACCATAATGATGGGCCAGTTAGTGACATACCATAATGATGTGCCAGTTAGTGACATACCATAATGATGGGCCAGTTAGTGACATACCATAATGATGGGCCAGCTACCCACATACCATAATGATGGGCCAGCTACCCACATACCATAATGATGGGCCAGCTAGCAACATACCATAATGATGGGCCAGCTAGCCACATACCATAATGATTTGCCAGTTAGTGGCATACCATAATGATGGGCCAGCTAGCGGCATACCATAATGATGGGCCAGCTAGCGACATACCATAATGCTGGCCAGGCTAGCGACATACCATAATGATGGGCCAGCTAGTGGCATACCATAATGATGGGCAAGCTAGCGACATACAATAATGATGGGCCAGCTAGCGACATACCATAATGATGGGCCAGCTAGCGACATACCATAATGATGGGCCAGCTAGCGACATACCATAATGATGGGCCAGCTAGCCACATACCATAATGATGGGCCAGTTAGTGACATACCATAATGATGGGCAAGCTAGTTACATACCATAATGATGGGCCAGCTAGCGACATACCATAATGATGGGCCAGCTAGCGACATACCATAATGATGGGCCAGCTAGAGACATACCATAATGATGGGCCAGCAAGCGACATACCATAATGATGGGCCAGCTTGTGATGTCTGGGTGGTTGGGAATAAAACAAAGAGGACTGCAAAAACACACATTTCTATCTCACAATGAACAAGTAAAGCTGCAGTGTTCGTGCATGTGGTCCTGCGTGTGTGTCTCTGTATTCCAGGGTTGGACCCCAGTGAGGGCCCCAGCCACTCCGGCCCTGCCCCTTCCACTGGCCCCCAGGGCTTCAGGAAGCACTTCCTCAGCAGGAAGCTGGACTGTGCCAACCAGCCACCCGACCCTGAGAGACTGTTCCAGAGGTGCTTCGTCACCACCGTCAACATGGAGGTCCCTTCGTAGTGCACTTAATATGGAGGGCACTTTGTAGGGTGCTTAGAAGGCCATGGAGGACCCTTTGTAGGATGCTTAATATGGAGGGTACTTCGTAGGACGCTTAAAAGGCCCAGTGCAGTCAAAAACGTGATTTATTTGTGTTTGATATATATTTAGGTTGGAATAATACTGTGACATTTTTTAAATTATGATAATGCTCTTTTAGTGTAAGAGCTGTTTGTAAAGACAGCCTGAAATTTCAGACTGTTTTGGTGGGATGGAGTTTTGGCCTGCCTGGTGACATCACCAGGCAGTAAATGGGTTAATAGATTAATAGACCAATAAGAAAGAGAGTTCCAAAACTCTGCCAATAACAGCTAGTTTTCCGTTTTCCCCTCCCCCCAGACAGTCCTAGAACAATTATTGCATGAGAAATTGCTCTTGCTAAGAAGCTAGTCTTTCGTTTCGACCATTTAGATTCAAAACAATCACAGTTAGGTACTTAATTGTTACCCAGAAATTATTTGATATCGAGATAAAAATGTACGCATTGGGCCTTTAATACGAAGGGCGCTTCGTAGGACGCTTAATATGGACAGCATTTCGTCTTTTAAAGGCGGCCAGATGATTACTTGTTCTGATTGGAAATTAGTGTATAGAAGACTATGCAACACAGTGGGAGGACTGGAGAACCAGTCACTCTCAAACACAAGAGAACCAACAACCATTTATGACCATGTTCTGTATGGACTGGAGCAGTACTGAATTTGTCAGTGTTCAATCAGTGGTTGGCTGGTTGACCCACTGTAGAAACATTTCAGTTGAGCTTTTTTTTTTGTTAATTAAAATAAACTTAAACAAACTGAAAGACAGAAGTCACAGTGGACAACTGTGGAGCCGAAGCATCGTCTGTCTTGCGTCACATTCTCTGTATTCCAATGTCATTCGATGAAGCGAGGGAAAGGATGGCGGGAAATATTTTCATTAATCATTTCGTGTTGAGAAATCTGTTTTAACTATGGGCTAATTTGACAGGAGCTTGTGTGTCTTCAGGACAGACACTCTTGTCATTCGGATAACAAGCTACTCAAACAAGCATTACTGAACTTCAATGTCAACAGTCTGCATCCAACACTTTGTGTGATTCTTCACCTTCTATCTGGAGACTGTTCTTGATCGTCTACGTGTCTGTGTGTGAAATGTTTATTTGGTTGAGAATGTTGCCAATGGGACAACAAGTGTCTGCAGCGTATTTTCATCCAATGGAACTGATAAGGAAGTAATCAGACATAATACAACACATAACAAACAGAATGCCTCAGAGTTCCAGTTACCTTAATGTGGCCCTTGTTTTCGCTAGAGTCAAAGGTTAATGGTTGAATCCATAACGGTAAAACTGCCACGCCCTTTTACAATATTACAACAACAAAGAAGTTACTTCAAACAACAAACACTGTATTTTTCCCTCTGACATCATCATTCCACAAGTGCTAGAACAACAGAGTATGTACTGCAATTTGTAATTTATTTTCACAATGCTGGATGCTCCATGACTCCGTTTCATCAACAAAAACAATAACTAATGTGCTGCCGCGAACAGTGGCGTTGTTTCCCCTTATGTGGATTTCAGCTTTAAAGGTCATGTCTGTTATTATAGAAAGCCATTAAATTGCTTGGTGAAACATTGCATGTTGAACTGTCATCTGTAAACTGTCATGCTGGATTTTCTCAGAACTCGGCATTGTTTCTATGGCAGAGATTATAGGGCCTAATGTTTCCTATCCCCATATGTTCCACCACTGTCCATGCTGCTGTTTCCCCCCAAAACGTTCAGAAACACTTACATTTATGTGGTCTTAATATCATTGTGTAGCCAATTGCCATATACAAAGGTTGCATGCCATGAGACATCAGTTGTGTAAGTAATTTATTTCTTAGTCATGCTTCAATATAGAGTAAGTTGTCGAAGGAGAAAGATTTATGGTTTTACACCTTTATGGTGTGTTATCACAGCAGGCAACAAGTTTTCTGTTTTCTCAATCTATTGAGTGTGAGTGCATAACATATTTAAAATGTACTTACAAATAAATGCATGTTACCTTTTCAATATTCAAAGTGCTTTGTAAAACATCAAACGGTCTATTTATTTATATAAATTTGAAAAACGTATGATAAGCAGATGCTATATCAAATTTGTGATTAAACATTTACTTAAGCTATCCAAGAGCACACAGCTATTACACCACCACCATGTGGTTACATAAAACACATGAAAACTCAAAAGGGACACAACCGTTGAGGAGAGCTGTCTTGGGGAATAACCATCTCCAACATTTAACAGTAAAGACAATGTATACATTTTATATATATATAGTATACATACAGTATTTCCATATATGACTCTGAATATAGATGAAAGGAAGAAGACGGTAAACCATTCTGCTGCTCTCTGTTGATGACATCACCATTTCCAACCGCAATTAAGGGCTATATTCGATCTGTAAATCGTTACAGATTCGGCGATAGAAATGTATAAAAGGAATTTCCGATTGAGCCGAAACATGCAGCGTTTACCGTGAGTGCAGCCTGCGCTAAAGCAGGAACATTACCTTTACAAGTCAATCACGCTGTAAAGCTGAACTTCTGCGATGCGGATTGAATAGAGTCCTGAGACATCAAACATCTGAATCAAGAGATTTGTTTTCATATTTTGTCTGATATTCTATTCTCCTGCACCTTAACTACGGTTGTCTGGACGTCATCCTCATCGTCCCCATTCCCCTCGTTATAAACAGTGTGTGAAAAGCACTGAGTCACTTCAAATAATGGGGAAGAATGAATGGACGGATGTCCATTATTTCTCTTTAACACATGGTTCAATACAGTCATTGAGACGACAGGAAGACCAGCTCAATTAAAATATTCTCTCCAACAAGAGAAGACTGCTCAAATGAAGCGATCGATCACAGGTGAAGATAAAATGGTGGCGAGGGCCAAACAAGCTTCATTTGAAGCTACAGGAACGTGAGGATGGTTATACCCATTTCCCCTCATTATAAACCTAACAGTGTGTGAAAAGCACAGTCACAAAATAAATTAGGAAGGAGTAGTTGGCAGATGTAAATTATTTATTTATACTTTGGTTCAATACGGTCTTTGGGAAAGGAAGGACCACTCGAGTGAAGCTGACTGAAAATGAAGGCCAAACAAGCTCCCCACTGGCCACAGACTTCATTTCAACGTCTAGTTTTAATTACATTTTGGTTGAGTTGTCAACTAATGTCAATTCAACATGAAATCAACAAAAACATCTCACTTCATTGGATTAAGGTAAAAAAATGGGGTGAAAAAAAATACGAAATGTCCTTTACGTTGATGACTTCTTGCAAATCCAATCAGTTTTCCACGTTGATTCAACGTCATCACATTGAATTTTTTTGTTGAAATGACGTGGAAACAACGTGGATTCAACCAGTTTTTGCCCAGTGGGAAAACAGTATGGATATATCTTCCGCAAGCTGATCTATCTCCAGTCAGCTTCACTCGAGTGGTCCTTCCTTTCCCAAAGACCGTATTGAACCAAAGTAGAAATAAATAATTTACATCTACCTAGTAATCATTTCTATTATTTTTAGTAACTCAGTGATTTCCACACACTGTTGGGTTTATAATGAGGGGAAATGGTGATAATCATAACCAAGTCGTGTAATGTTGTGACCATGTTGTGTAATGTGATGCTAATCGAGGTTCACTAACAATATTGCAATGGGAGGGCGATATGCATCCATGTTTCTGCATCTTCACTAACCTCGTCCCCAGGCTATTGTGCACAGCGCATATAAACCTGGGATATCAACCACTCAAAGTTAGCCTTGGTGTGAGTGACCATACTGAATAAAGTATTTGTCATTTAATTTCAGCGACTCACCAAGACTGCGAGGCGTGCCTCTGTGCTTGTGGTGTGCTAGTGTACGGGGGAGGGTTATGGGGGAAGGTGTTGTGGGAGACGATTGGTTGGTAGATTAAGCCGATTAAACTAGTGCCTGTGCGCTGGGAGTGTCACCTGGCTCTCTGTATCGGCTAACGAAGGCCAAGTTTGACTCATTGGTCCAGCAGACTCTTCGCGCATTTGGTCGTAATGAGAATCTTCACAAGTCAGTATTCTCTCCTGTTCATCCACAAACATAACATCCACATACTGCACCACAAAGGCTGTGTTCACACAGGAAGCCCAATTCTGATATTTTCCCAATTATTGGCAAAAGATCTGAGTTGATTGGTTGAAAAAACAATTAGTGGAAACGCAGCCAAATCAACCCTATGTCCCTCTCTCAGTTAATTGACTCTCCAATCTACTCTCTTCTCTCACCAATCTCTGACTTTCAAAATCTACTCAAACACCCAAAATTGTCTTTCAGTATCAACACATTAGCAAACTGCCAATCTCATCAGATGAGCCAAACGTCTTGGTATTTGGCTGATTCGTTGTTGTGTGGAAGGTAGCCTTTCAGATTCCACGGTCTCTCTTCTGATGATTCCTACAGCTTCTCTCTAGGAAATCATTTCACAAAACCGCAGTATTCTCCTCAGGCAAGGTGTTTGGTAAATGGTAGGTATCCAGATCTGACACTTGGTACTGCAGGCCTACTGTGATCAACGACCGAGTCAATCAGATATTATTTTTCAGCCCCGGAGGGAGCCATGTAATAGCATGGAAGACATGAACTACATGGAGCATTTATCACCGCCTCAGGTGAGTGATGTCACCTGTTACAGTGTAGCCTAGATGTTGAAAGGGGTTCAGTACATAATAGCCTATGAAAAGGGTGCATAATAGCCTATGAAAAGGGTGCATAATAGCCTATGAAAAGGGTGCATAATAGCCTATGAAAAGGGTACATAATAACCTATGAAAAGGGTACATAATAACTCATGAAAAGGGTACATAATAGCCTATGAATGGTAGTGAATAAGACCACCATGGTACTATGGTTTAAATTATAAACTGTACTGTAAATTATAATGGT